GTAGTTGAATGTTAGAAGCATCCAGAACCACTTAAGATTAGTCTTACAACAACACTATTTCTAACATTCTCAGTAGGTAACGGTGGGTTTTCAATACTTGCTGATGCTTTAAGAACTAGATTGGGATGTGTGCTAATGCAGAATGGGAAGGTGGTTACTTATGCATCTTGTCAATTGAAGCAGCATGAGAGGATCTACTCCACTTATGATTTGAAGTTAGCAGTAGTCATTCGTTGTTCAAAGATTTGGTAACATTACATTTTGGGAGCAAAAGTGAAAGTATTCATTAACCCCAAATTTCACAAATACATATTCATTAAGAAAAGCTCAAATGCTCTTAGCTGACTGCCGAGTGCAATGATGCTTATAAAGTAGAAGAGATTAGTCGTAAAGATTGAGTCATGGTATTGAAATCATTCTACTAATTAGTCGGGATTAGTTGATGAGTAGCAACAAATAGATGATAAGGAGCTTCTCAAGGTCAAGAAGAGGATACCTAATGTAGAAAGGACATATGAATCCATAAGAAAACCCCATGAGCAAAGAGTACCACTTATGTGTCCCCATAGGTGAGATTCGCAAAGAACCATTCGATGGAGCTCATCACTCTATGTTTGTGATTCATCCAGCAAAATGAAATAGTACAAAGACATGAAGTTCATTTTTTGGTGGGAAGATATGAAGCAAGATACTTTTGACCAAGCAGCAAGATGCCTTACATGTCGACAAGTGAAGGCTGAACATCATAAGATAGCGGTTCTATTGCAGCCATTATCAACACAATAGTAAACTATGGATTTAACAATAGTATCACCTAATAATGCAAAACAGAACAAAGCAGTTGGGTGATTGTTGACCATCTTGCCAAGAGTTTAGCCTATTACTAGTTGGAAAAACTACTACGTCATTAGCAGAGCTTTATGTGAAAAATGTTGTAATTTTGAACTGAGTAGTGAAGAAAAACTTTGGTTAAGGCTAGTATGATAGAGAATTAGGGAGAGAGAGATGTAGAAGAAGATAGAGAATTTGATGCTTTTGTTTACTTTTTTTCCCATAACAAATTCTCCCACTCATGGGTTTATATAGACTTATACATGACCCTTCATATTCCATACATTAACTCTACACATTTACTTTCATAGAATACAAAGAGTCATCTCTTAGAATACCACCCCACTTATTATACTTTGACTTTTAGGATTCCCTTCCACCTAGGATATCACACTATGGCTCTTGGGTTGTTTAGGTTGCTAAACACTAATTAGTTCAACACTCCTCCTCAGGGGTTAGCAGGTTTAACACCCATTAGTTCTCAAAGTGTGCAGAAACGATCCTTCGGCAAAGCTTTGGTGAGAATGTCTGCAGCTTGATCTTCAGTTTTACAGTAGATGACCTCCATATCCTTGTCTACGATCGTGTCCCTGGTGAAGTTGTATTTTCTCTTGATATGTCTCGTCCTTTGGTGGAAGACAGTGTTCTTTGCCATTACGATCGCTGACTTGTTGTCGCATAGGAGAGGAGTAGGCTGTAGTTGTTTTTCACCAATGTCTTCAAGCACATCCCTCAGCCACTTGATTTGTGATGTTGCTTGAGAAACCACCACGTACTCGGCTTCTACAGTTGATAGTGTCACGGACTCCTGCTTCATCGATGCCCAGGAGAACACACTCGATCCAAGTGTGAAGCAGTATCCAGAGGTACTCTTCATGTCATCTTCATCACCTCCCCAGTCACTATTGCAGAATCCGAATAGCTTAGCTGAGGAGTTCTTCTCAAAACGGATCCCAAAATTCTGGGTGTCTTGGATGTACCTAAGGACCCGTTTGGCAGCTCCTATGTGCACTCTTGTTGCACAATGCATGAACCTGCTTAAGAGACTTGAGGTAAACATGAGGTCAGGTCGAGTATTATAGTGGTAGAGGAGACTCCTTATGATACTTCTATAGAGGTTGAGGTCTTCTCCTTCGGTACCGTCTCCCTTCATGAGTTTATCACTGACCACCACTGGGGTAGAGACGAGCTTGCAGTCTGCCATGCCGAACTTCTTCAAGATTGACTGTGCATAGGCCTGCTGATGAATAATGATGCTATCTTCGTCCTGCTGGATCCCCATGCCAAGAAAGTAGTGAAGGAGGCCGAAATCTGTCATCTCGTACACCTCCATCATGTCTTTTTGAACTTATGCATAAGCTTCTCACTGTTGTCTGTATAGATAATATCGTCTACATATACAGCTACAATGAGAATATCTACATTATCTCTTCGAATGTAAAGTGTGGCTTCACTAAGGCTCCTTTTGAAGTTGTGTTGGGTGAAGCAGGGATTGACCTCTTCATACCATGCCCTTGGTACTTGCTTGAGACCGTAAAGCGCCTTGTATAGCTTGTAGACTTTATCCTCGGCTCCTGCAACTTCGAACCCTTGCGGTTGATGGATGTAGACTTCTTCTTGTAGCACCCAATTCAGGAATGCTGACTTCACATCGAGCTGGAATACCTTCCACCCTTTGTCAGCAGCTAGAGCAATCAAGAGACGAATTGTCTCTAGTCTGGAGATAGGGGCAAAGGTTTCATTGAAGTCCACTCCAGGCTTCTGTGAATAGCCTTTGGCCACAAGCCATGCCTTCTTCTTGTTGATGGACTCGTCAAGGTTCAGCTTAGTCTTATAGACCCACTTGACGCCGATGATTGGCTTGGCTGCAGGTTTCTCTACCAGCTCCCAGGTGACATTTTTCTCTATCATGGAGATCTCCTCCTGCATGGCTTTCTTCCAATCTTTTTCTTTGATGGCTTCTTCAAATGACTCAGGCTCCAATATGCAAAAATTACATGAAGCGTAAATCTCATTAAGATTTCTGTATCTTAATGGAGTTGTACCTGAGGAGGAAGAAGAACTGGGACTAGAGTTGGATGGTGTGCTTGAGGAGTTAGCACTTGATCTGGGTGTGGTTGAGTCGGAGCTTGTTGAACTCGAACCGTTTTGTGGAGTTTGCACTTCTGGCTCTGGATCTGGATCTTGGGTGCTTTCTGAATCTAGGTAGATGTAGTTTGTGGGCACCTGCTCCTCCTTCTTGAGATCCCAATTCCACTTGGCTGATTCGTCAAAAACCACATCCCGTGAGATGACGATCTTTTGAGTCTTCGGGTTGAAGAGCCTGTAGCCCTTCGTATGGCTTGCGTATCCCATAAAGATACACCTTCTTGTGTTCTCCTAAGCAGGGATTGACCTCTTCATACCATGCCCTTGGTACTTGCTTGAGACCGTAAAGCGCCTTGTATAGCTTGTAGACTTTATCCTCGGCTCCTGCAACTTCGAACCCTTGCGGTTGATGGATGTAGACTTCTTCTTGTAGCACCCAATTCAGGAATGCTGACTTCACATCGAGCTGGAATACCATCCACCCTTTGTCAGCAGCTAGAGCAATCAAGAGACGAATTGTCTCTAGTCTGGAGATAAGGGCAAATGTTTTATTGCAGTCCACTCTGGGCTTCTGTGAATAGCCTTCCGCCACAAGCCGTACCTTCTTCTTGTTGATGGATCCGTCAAGGCTCAGCTTAGTCTTATAGACCCACTTGACGCTGATGATTGGCTTGGCTACAGGTTTCTCTACCAACTCCCAGGTGCTATTTTTCTCTATCATGGAGATCTCCTCCTGCATGGCTTTCTTCCAATCTTTTTCTTTGATGGCTTCTTCAAATGACTCAGGCTCCAATATGCAAAAATTACATGAAGCGTAAATCTCATTAAGATTTCTGTATCTTAATGGAGTTGTACCTGAGGAGGAAGAAGAACTGACATGAAGCGTAAATCTCATTAAGATTTCTGTATCTTAATGGAGTTGTACCTGAGGAGGAAGAAGAACTGGGACTAGAGTTGGATGTTGTGCTTGAGGAGCTAGCACTTGATCTTGGTGTGGTTGAGTCGGAGCTTGTCGAACTCGAACCGGTTTGTGGAGTTTGCACTTCTGGCTCTGGATCTGGATTTTGGGTGCTCTCTGAATCTAGGTAGATGTAGTTTGTGGGAACCAGCTCCTCCTTCTTGAGATCCCAATTCCACTTGGCTGATTCGTCAAAGACCACATCCCGTGAGATGACGATCTTTTGAGTCTTCGAGTTGAAGAGCCTGTAGCCCTTCGTATGGCTTGCGTATCCCATAAAGATACACCTTCTTGTGTTCTCCTCTAGTTTGGATCTTAACTTGCCTGGGATGTGAACAAAACAAACACAACCGAAAACCTTAAGGTGGTTTAAGGAAGGTTTTCTACTTGAGAATGCTTCGAAGGGGGTCTTGTCCTCCAATGCTCTTGTTGGACAACGGTTGAGAAGGTACACTACGGTGTTGACTGCTTCTCCCCAGAACTTGTTGGGAAGTTTCTTCTCATTTAAGAGACTCTTGGCCACCTCCACGATAGTCCGGTTCTTCCTTTCTACCACTCCGTTCTATTGAGGAGTGTATGGATATGTGGTTTGCTTCTCGATGCCAAGGTTGCTGCAGTAGTCCTCGAACTTTGCTGAAGTGTACTCTCCACCCTGATCACTTCGAATCTTCTTAATCTCTAGGTCTGTTTGTCTTTCCACCATTGCTTTGAACTTTTGGAAGACATTGAAAGCTTCTGATTTGAGCCTCAAAAAGTAGACCCAGGCAATCCTACTAAAGTCATCAATAAAAGTGATGAAATATTTGTTACCGGCCAGGGACTTCGTCTTCATTGGACCACATAGGTCCGTATGGATTAACTCCAAAGGCTTTGTTGCCCTCCATGCTCCTTCCTTTGGGAACTCGCCTCGGTGCTGCTTGCCTTTCATGCAACTGGAGCAGACACCTTCAACTCCTTCAATGGTTGAGAGGCCATACACCATTTCTCTGCTTTGAAGAGTCTTGAGGCTTTGGAAGTTAAGATGCCCGAGCTTCTTGTGCCATAGCCAGGAGGAGTTCACCACTTCGACCATTAGAGATTGAGTGTTCCAGTAGTACAGTGAGAGAGGAAAACTTCTGTTGGGTTACATCTTGACTTTGGCCACCAAGTTGTTAAAACTCCTATCATAATAGATCTTCACTGCTTGATCACCAAAAACTAGAAAATAACCGTTAAGGAGCATTTGACCTACACTTAACAGATTTTCCTCTAGACCTGGTACAAGCATTACATCCTTGATGTATCTTTTTCCTTTCTTTGTATTTACAGCCAAGATACCCTTTCCTTCAGATTTTACAATATTCTCATTTCCCATCTTAACACTACCAAGATAGGATGTGTCAAAGTCTATCAACAGTGACCGTTTTGCAGTCATGTGGTTACTACAGCCAATATACCAAAGACTAACATCACTATCTTTTCCTCCATGACAAGCAAAGAAAACATTACCTTCGCCGTCCTCTTCTTGGTTTACAAAGACTTGCCGGCAGTTTTGGTTTTGATTTCCTTGAGTCCTGCACTGCTCTTTGGTATGCCCAAATCTGGAGCAGTCCTTGAGTCCTGCACTGCTCTTTGGTATGCCCAAATCTGGAGCAGTTGGTGCACTTGGGCTTCCCCTCGAACCAGCACTTCCAAATCTGGAGCAGTTGGTGCACTTGGGCTTCCCCTCGAACCAGCACTTCCCTTGATGAGACTTGCCGCATGTTCTACATGTGGATTTGCTACCTTGTTGGGAGTTGATACTTTGTTGTTGTTGTTGAGGCTTTGGAGCAAAATTGGGCTTGCCTCCTTTCTTCTTTTTCTTTTGCTTCTAGCACTTTTGTTGATTTGAGCTCATGTTGAAGCTTTTTAAGGCTCTCTCCATGGTAGAAGCTTCATTCCTCTTCTCAAGATTTTGGTCAAACGCCTTGATGGATGCGATTGCCTCTTGTAGTGAAAGCTTCTCCATATCTTTTGTTTCTTCTATCACACTTACAATTGGGTCATATCTACTAGAGAGAGAAATAAGAATTATTTTAACTACTCTTTGTTTTGTTACATCTTCACCATATGTTTTTAATTGATTTATAACATTGGTGAATCTAGTAAGAAAATCATCGAGTCTTTCTTCTACTCTCATAGAGATTTGCTCAAACTCTTTTCTAATAGTTTGAAGCTTAACCGCCTGTACCTTTTCACTTCCACGGTGCTCTTCTTGGAGGATGTCCCACGTCACCGTTGCTATCTCCTCGTTGGAGATCATAGGGAAGATGGAGTTGGAGACGACATTTTGGATCAACCCGAGGGCTTTGGCATCCCTCATGTAGTTGATCTTTAATGTCTTCTGCTCTGCCGGGGTGAGAGATTCTTTGTCTTCTGGCACCTCGAAACCTTTCTCCATCAGCTTCCAAAGGTCATGCGCTATGAATATCATCCACATCTTGATCCGCCAAAAATCGTAGTTCTCCCCGGAGAAGATCGGTGTTCGTATCTCGCCGGAGGTAGGTTTTGGGTCGGACTCAATGATCGGTGTTCGTATCTCGCCGGAGGTAGGTTTTGGGTCGGACTCAATGACTATTGGGTCAGCCACTTGAACCCGAGATGAAGTTGGAGAATCGACGGTTGTATCGGTCATTTTGAGGAGGCTATTTGGAAGAGTTTTGGTAGTGGGTGTTGGTGTTTTAGTACAGGTAGGGTTTCTTAACACTCAGTTGTCGTAACAAAGCTCTGATACCATGTTGTAATTTTGAACTGAGTAGTGAAGAAAATATTTGGCTAATGCTAGTATAATAGAGAATTAGAGAGAGAGAGAGAGAGATGTAGAAGAAGATAGAGAATTTGGTGCATTTGTTTTCTTTTTTTTTCCTATATCAAATTCTCCCATTCATGGGTTTATATAGACTTATACATGACCCTTCATATTCCATACATTAACTCTACACATTTACTTTCATAGAATACAAAGAGTCATCTCTTAGAATACCACCCCACTTATTATACTTCGACTCTTAGGATTCTCTTCCACCTAGGATATCACACTATGGCTCTTGGGTTGTTTAGATTGCTAAACACTGATTAGTTCAAGTGGTACGACTTTATGGACTATCAATTTTCGTTGTGTTAGATTGATATACTTGGTTCATCTAGGAATTTCGGTGAAGACTGCATAATAGATTAGGCACAAGATTGAAATATAGCACCATTTATCATACGTAGATTGATGGATAATCGGAGCAAATGATTACGACTTTGGAGGACATTCTTTGTGCATGTATCTTAGATTTTAAGGAGTCTTTAGAAGATTACTTGCAATCCTGTTGAATTTTCATACAACAACAATTACCATGTCAGCATAAGAATATCTCCATTTAAAGGCTTGTGTGGTAGGGAATGTAGATCACTATTGCGCTGGGATGACATTCGTGAGAGGAAGTTAATAGGTTCAGAACACATCTAACTTTCAAAAGAGAAGATAAAGGTGATCTATGAATATTGCAAGACCACTCACGATAGATATCATAGCTAGGAAGATGCAGGAAGGAGACATTTGGAGCTCAAGGTCAGGGATCATGTATTCCTTTGAATATCACAGACTTGTCAAACTATTGAGTTCAGAACCTAAGGGAAAATAAGCCCACATTATATCCAACATTTTAAAATTACTTGTTTCAGAACCGGAAGGAAATTAAGCCCACGCTAGATCGGAACCCAAGGGAATAAGCCCACATTATGCTACAACTTTTATATTGTGGGGAAAATAGGGAAGGTAACTTACAAACTTGCATTGCCATCCTCATTGCAAGGTGTGTATGATGCCTTCCACGTATCACAAATAAGAAAGTACATTCCCAGTGAGAATACGTAAGCAGTCTTTATGATGCAGTCGATTTGGTGAAGTTGATACCAACTTTTGGAGAGTGACCACACTCTCATTTGGGTTCTCGACTAGTTGTGGATTGAGTCCGTTGTCGTGAATCAACTTCATGGTGTATTGGACACAATAAGTGGGACATTTGGATGCTTTAGTGTCGGCTCAGTATTTGAAAAACATCGCCGAGGTGGAGAATCATTGTTTCTTGGGGGCCACACCCACGTGAGTTCGTGTTTTTTGATTTCGTTCGGGTACAAGTGGTCGCGTTTTTTGATTTCGTTCGGGTACAAGCGGGTTTCAAATATCGTCCGCATATAGGCTATAAATACCTAGTTTTCTAGGTATTCGTGAGTGCAAGGAGGTTTGGTTTTAATTGTGGCTGCGGGAGAAAAATCAAGTACAAAGAGAGAAATTGCAAGGAGTTTTCGGCTTTGGGTATTTTTCAGCAGAGGAGATTTTTTGTGTGCAGTCTTTTTGTGCTTTTGAGAGGGTTGTTTTGGCATCTCCTTTGTGAGAGATTTGAGAGTTTCTGTGAGGATTTAACTTGTGTGATTATAAACCCTAGTTTTATTCTCTCCCTCTAATAGTAGATTCCCCCCCTCCTTGCCCCGTGGACATAGACAATTTGTCGAACCACGTAAAATTAGTTGTCTCGTTATTTGTGTGATTTGTAATAGCTTATTTAGGTTCCCTCGACAGGTCAGTCCTAGAACTGATGAGAGGAAGAGCTGATATTTCACTTTGTTGAGATATTTTGCTTAAGATTCTTATTTCCTTGGTGAAACAGGAATTTCTATTGCGACCTGACTCTCTTGTTGTGCCGAAATACTGCCGAAATTTCTGCTGCGCACAACAAAAACTAGAAAATATATCTAAAAGAAATATCTTATTGTATCTATTGAAAATAAACAATTGAATTAAGCATAATCTATAACAACTACTACATGATGCGACTCTTTTCTCATAACTTGTTTATTCAACTATGTTTGGTCCGCTACGATTGGACTTACTTTATTACTTGAAGAAAGAGGTACACAAAAAGGTTAAGACATATGATCTAAGTGAGGAAAATATGAGGAACTATAAGAAGCAATGGTTAGCTGCACAAATATAATGATAATATCATTATTAGCTACACAATATTAAATATAAAAATCAAGTATATAAGAATCAAGTGAGATGATTATTGTTCACGTCGAAAGTAAATTTCTTTGAGGAATTCATTATAACTTCAGGCGTTTACAACGAATTCAAAAGATGAGTATTTTTATAAGATCTCTCCACACAAAAGAAATTTAAAAATTATAACTTTCTAGAAAACACACGCAGAGAGATCGTTTATCGGTCTTTTGCTTACGTGGGGTCTTTGCTGGTACCGGGGTTTATCCGTGAACCACCAAATGATCAGTAATGATTGATTTCGTTGCCTTGCAAAGGAGACAAGAAATTGAAGTGAATATCTCAGCAATGGTGAGATAAAAACAATTTTCGAGATCATAGCAATGGTACAATCTTAAGGGAAGCGTATGAACGAGGCTGAAGCGGCTACAGATCTATCGAGCTCTCTTCCTTTTTGTCGAAGAACTCGCCAAGAACTTGCTTCCTCCTTCCTGAAATTTGTGCTCCTTACTCTCCAATTTTACAGGGCTTCGCCGTTGCTCCCAAATTTTTGACCCCTTTGAATAATGGTCCTAGGACTGTATTTATAGGCATCAAAAGCTCTATTTTCGGATAAGAATGAATGATTTGATCTTATCCTCAGTTGTAACAACTTAATTACGTTCAAAGTTAGCCTCAAATCAGTTGGAGAGGCTATGGACTGAAGGAATCCTGAAATCTTATCGAAAAATAGGTTTTCAGAAGGTTATTGGGCTTTTCTTGGCGTGAGACACCACTGGTGTCTCGGGCCGAGACACCAGTGGTGTCTTGGCCGTTGGCCGAGACGTCGTTAGTGTATTTTGATTGTTTTGCCTCTAACTCCCCCGTCCGATCTCAGAATAACGTGATTCAAAATGCGTTGAAAAGCCAGAGTAGAGACCTACAACCTCCCCTAGTTGAAACACACGTGGAGTGATTGAGACACAAGCGGAGGTTCGTCTTTCGTCGGTGAAATGAAACTCCCGATTGAGTCATTTCTGCGCTATTTTGCCGTCCTATTTACTCGTATGTTTAGTCAACTTACTTCATACGCTTGTTAGCTTCCTCACAACATCAGATAATCCTCGTTGACTTGTATAATGATGTTCATCATCTTTTCTCCGTCTCGACCTACATGCGGGAACCTATAGGTAATTTTTGACGCATACAGATAAGCCCTCTAAAGTGTTTCAATCTCATTCTTTTGTAGAGGAGCCTGGAATACTTTGGATATGATACGGCTGGTCTTCAATTCATTGATCTCTTCAACTTTTAGTCTATTGAGTATTTTGTCGAATAGTTAAAATTCTTTCGGTGTTGCATTTATCATCTGACCGTTGTTGAAATCTTGAACTGAAGCTGGCGTGTTGATTTATAAATTATAGCTCGTGTCGTTGAATCAACATTGAACTAATTATTCTGAGTCTTGTTTCGGTGAAAATTGTCAATGCGTTGACTAGCATGGACCTACATTGACTCATGGCTACGCGTTGACCATTTTTGCCTCATGGCTATGGGTTGACTGACATTGACTTTCATCGCAACGCGTTGACCAGCATTGACTTATGGCTACGCGTTGATCAGTGTTGACTCATGGTAACTCGTCGACCGGCGTTAACTTTCATCGCAACGCGTTGACTCATGGCTATGCGTTGACCGGTATTGACTTTTATCATAACACGTTGACCGGTGTTGACTTTCATTGCAACGTGTTGACCAGTGTTGACTCATGGCTACGAGTCGACCGACGTTGACTTTCATCACAACGCGTTGATCGGCGTTGACTTTCATTGCGATACCTTGACGACGTTGACTTTGATCACAACACATTGACCGATGTTGACTTTCGTCGCTACGTGTTGATCGGCGTTGACTTTAATCACAATGTGTTAGCTTACATTGACTCATGGCTACGCGTTGACCGGTGTTGACTCGTGAACGATGTGAACACAGTTTATACTCATACGTTAACTAAAGTCTACACAGTTTATGCTCTTAAGGTGTTAGAGCGGGGAGGACCAGTTTATACTCAAATACTCCTAGGAGTTTCGAGAATCAGTTTAACCTCGTGTACCCATCAGAGGTTCAAGGAGATGCAATTTATACTCGTATACTCATCAGAGTGTGAACACAGGCTTCAAATATAGTGAAACGGGCAAAAACATCCGATAACGGCTGAATACGGATGAAAAATAGCATTGTGGAATTCTCGGGACCCCGTTTTAGGGTCGAGACACTGTTGGTGTCTCACCCTAGGTGTGAGACACAAATGGTGTCTCGGCCTTGGCTTAGACAACATTGGTGTCTCGGCCATACCTTGTGTCTCGGCCTAGGGCCAAGACACACATTCTATCTCCGTTCTAGGGAGAGAGAGAGAGAGTAGGAGAGGAGAGAGGAAATGAGATAGAGTAGAGAGAGAGAGAGTGGCTGGCCATATGAGAGAGAAAAGAAAAGAGTTTTGTACAATAGTCCTTTTGTGTTTCCCCCCTTTTCATCAAAATTTGAACTCCCTCTTGTTCTCTTCTTCTTCCTCAAGTTCTTTCTTTTAGAACTCCTCCAAACCAATAACTCCCAAACCCAAACTTCTCTTCAAGGACACTAAAACCCCTTAAACTTTTACACTTTAA